CTGTCTGAGTTTTGCTCTCCCCTCTGTAAAACACAGGCACCAACACCTTCTGAGCCACAAAGGGTAATGTTGGCAGGAACAACAAGCATTTAATATTCGCTTCTGGCAATCTTCTAAAGAGCTTTTGAAACAGAGATCCGCATTCTACGGGGCAAACCGAAGTCCAGAGGTGTCAAGGACCTTGCATAGTGTCACCTTATTAAGGAAAGAAGCATAGTTGGTATCTAAAACCACATCTGTGTGCCCTTCAAAACCTGATCTCGTTCTACCACCCACACTAGGAATGAGAGCCCTGCATCTGCGAGGAGCATGGAATTAATAAGCAAGTGTCTTGGGTAAAAGCATCATCTCAAAGAGCTAGAAGTGCCTCCATACCTTGAAACTGAAAAAAGTAAAATAAACTATAGCTTTATTTAAGTGCTTCCTGTGACCAGCGTCTCTGCTTTGGGCTGACGTCGTTCGAGGGCATCCTTTGCTTAGCTCACTGCATCAGAGAACGCCACCCGGCACTAATGAGCTGCCTCTCTGGTGTGTGCAGCATACGGCCTTGCTGGGCTGTGGAGCCCACCCAGTCGAGGCAGGCTGTGTATGACTTACTTTTCAGACCCCTCCCTGGGACAGCTGGAGGTCATGGGAACACCAGAGAACTATGGTCTTGGCTTAGAAAATGACAGATTTGCATGTCATCAGGCTGCAACAACACCTTTAGTCTAATTCCTCTATTTTACAGAAACTGAGGTCAAGAGAAAGATAAATAGATGGGGTGGAGGGAAGAGAAACCAATATTGGAGGTTTTTCCAAGGCTGGGACAAGAACTCAGCCTGGCAAAAGCTATAAGTGGACCATACCTCTTCGACATCCCGAGAGGTGAAATGTGGACCTAGAAGTCCTGTGGGAGTATCCCCGGCTGCAGGGTGAGCTCACATCTGGAAGCTCATGGACCTGGTTTAGAATCCTGGCTCTTCCTTCAGGCACATTCCTTAGGCTTGCCAAATTTTGCAATCTGTGAACTGAAGTTAATTAATAGTACGTGTGTCTCAGGAATATTGTAAAGAGTAAGTGAATCAAACATATGTCAGTGACCCTTTGTGCCTGATCTTTGAAGAAAAGGTGTTTGATAAGTTTTTGCTATATTCTTCAGGTTCCTCTCTACTTGTTTTGGGTGGAAAATCACCTGGGACTTCTTTTTTTTTCTCATACGTACATTCCTGAATTGCCCGACAAAGCCCCCAAAATCCATTCTTCTGGACTTACATTTCTAGCTTCTCTTTAGACCTGAAATGAACCTGGCTCTGTTGTTTGCTGGATTATAACAGGGATAACAGATCCACTCAGCATCCAGCATTGCACAGGCTATATGATCCATTTCTCTGCTCTTGGTATTTTTTTTTTTTTTTTACATGTGTGTGTGTTTCTTAATGTAGTATTGAGGTTTCAAAGATTGGCCTTTGATTACCTTCAGAAATGATAAACGGAGTTGTCAGTTATTTTCTGGCATTCCCTTATTTGCAAATCCAAAGTCCAAAACACTGAAAATTTACTTATTTACATAACTCATTTGGAGTCAAAAGCAGCCTTGATCATACATGAAACTGTTTATTGTTTTTATTATCCTACTCAGGGTGAATAAGTTTTTCATCAGAAAGATGCATGCCCCTGGCCCTGCTTGGCATGTATGTAACATAGCATATGTACTATATTACCTTTCTAAGATCTGAAAAATTCTGAATTTGGAAGCATACCTGAGCAAAGAATTTCAAAGGAGGGTTTGTGGATCTCTCTAGAGAAGCCCAGAGGTACTTGCAGCATCCTTGGGGTTGGGGGACTGGAAAGGCATGAGTGTGGCCCCAGATTATCCTTCCTTGAAACCAGGTGGTGTGGTGACATGGTTCATCTTGTCATAAAAGCCTTAAAGGCTAGTTTTATATTTCATCAATTTTTAAATAACAGGAAATAAGTTAAATGACCATCCTTGTCCAAACACAAAAACAAAACAACAAGAAACTGTTTAAAACATGGGCTCCAAAATTTCACTGGGACAAAGTAAGTTTTAAAAAAGTCCTTAAAACTAAAAATAAGCTGGGAATTTTTGGTCTATTGTGGCTCGTAATCAAGTTTCATCATTGGCCTTTGGGGGAAGGTAGAAGGGAATTTTTAAATCTTACTCATCATTTTAGCCTTATGAGAAGGAACCCAGGCCTGCAGAGTGAGCATGGGGAAGTGAAAAGCCCTGAGCGGAGCGTGAGAAGGTCTTGGTTCTTATCTTGGGTCTGTTCCTGCCTTGTTGAGGAAGCTTGGACTCATTTGCTTCCCTTCTCTGGGCCCTAGAATCTGTTTCTACGTCTTTCCCTCTCTCTCTCTCCCTCTCTGTCTCGCTTTCTTTCTTTCCCTCGCTACCCTCCCTTCCTTCTTCCCGACAGTCTAGTAGTGGAGACCGGGGCCCCACCGAGCTGGCTGCCTGCTGCACTCATAAAGCTTCCGTACAGTCTCCGGGCACTGAGAAGACTTCCCTGTGCTCTGCACTGGTTTCCTCCAGGCTCTTCCTTTACTTCCCTGGCAACCCTGATTCTCTGCTGCCCGAGCTGGTTTGTGTGGGATTCATTTTGGTGCTGGCATCTGCACGGATGCCCAGTGAGGACTCCTTCACACTTAGCCAAACACGTTTCAGTTGCCCTGATGGTGATGGCCATCACCAGAGGCCACCCTGCATTGTTGGGGCAGTAGAGGAGCTAACAGGAAGGAGAGGGAAAGTTCCCTGTTGTGGACGATGTCACCAGGGCAGGCTCCACCCCGGAAATAGCGGCCCTTCTGTGGCCTGCACCTGTGTGGGCTAGGTACTGGAGCAGAGAACATTCAGGTGAAGGGCATGGGGGACTGACTGCCACCACAACCCCAATTTATATTTCTTTGCCTTTTAAGTTTATGCTTAAAGTATCAGAATTCTGGCTTTTGCCAGGTTGAAAGTTTAACATTTCCTTCAGAATCTAACTATTTGACAAACCAGGGGCTCTGCCTCCTCTGAGCATGGCTCACCCAGGGCATTCACACGTAGCAGTAACTCATGAAAGGAACCAGGGCCTGACCACGGATGGGGGTTTCCACCCAGGAGAAGTGACCTTAATTTCAGGATCCTGAAGGCTTTCAGTTCGCACTGACTGTGGGAACCACTGGGGAGTTGTAAGTACAAATACAAATAAGGTGACACTGGGACCCTGAGATGAGGGTATTCCAGGCATGGCTGGTCCCCCCACGTTAGAGAGGCCTGGACCCCCAAATGTATGTGTGCATGTGTCCGTGTTTGTGAGTGTTTGTGCATGGTGTGGTGTGTATGTGAATGTGTGTGGAGGTGTGTGTATGCGTTGGGAGTTCCTTTCAGGTCCTGGGAGGTGCTGGGCCCTGTCAGACACCCGCTGGACAAGGCTCCCTAAGCCCCGGCTTTTGTGTGGCTCATGAATGGAAGCAACCCCTGAAGGACTCCCACAGGGCTGAGGGGGCTTTTATCTTTCAGGGACCAGTGACCCTGGAGAAGGGCAGTTGTGAAGGTGGCTGGCAGGAAGTGACCACGTTATGTGTCTTAGGGAAAAATGTCTAATCCTTCTTCTTGGGAAAAACAGAACCCTGTCAAATCTTGTTCTATACATATTTGAAAAGACTCATTTGAGCATACCACTTTAAAAATCAAAATAGATGAAAGAAAAACCTATTACAAGTTTTCAAAAATAAAGGACTAGAAATATATTCAGCTTTACCTCATCGCCATTTGGGGGAAGGTTGGGAAAGATTATGAAAGAGAAAAGGAAGGGAAGGAGAAAGAGAAACACAGAAGAGAAACTGCTGCGGCTGGGTTCATCCCTGTGGAACACGGCCTGGAGAGCCAGGAGACTGGAGAAGAGGGGGGAGGGGGGAGGGAGCCTTGTACAGTTTTGCTTATTAAGCTTACAGGGAGCAGAAGACCCCTTGGGTGTGATGAGAGCCCCGTCCGGGGAGTCCCCTGGGAGCTGGAGCCTGCCACTGACTCGCCTAAACTTCTGTGATCCTCTTTCCCCCTCTGAGCCTTAGTTCCCTCATCTCTGATGGGTGTGGATCACTAGATGAAGCACAGAGCAATTCCTGGCTTGACCAGGGCAGCCTGACCCCAGACTCCAGGCCCAAGGCTTTCCCGGGAGGAAGAGGCTTGTATGTCTCTGCCTGCAGTTGCCGTGACCTCTCCCCTATGGACCCAAATAGGCGGGTTCCTCCCTCATGACCCAGGAGACCGTGTAGCTCGTGCTGGTGTGAATGAAGTGCTCTGCATGTGTCCCCTATTTTCTCCTCCCTTTAAACCACCTGTGTGTCAAGGCCCCATCTTACCTCCCATTTAGACTATCCAATTGGTAACCTGCTAGGAAGATCGTATGTTGTATAAATTTATCTGTTCAACCTCAAATTCAGAAAATAATTTGAATAGCTTATATAAACTAAAATAATGTGCTTGCTGTTTAGTGATACATGCATCTAAGTTATTTTTTTTACCCTGTCATTTACAGGTTGCCCAGTACTGCCACAGCCCCTGGTTTTTCACAGTATATCCACTTGTTCAGTTATGTTAATGACAATGAATTATGTTCCTCAGCATGCATCTAACACCTTTTAATTTGGCCTGTCTGTTTGTTTAAATTTCTTATCGTATAGATAATCATGCAAAGTAGATATATTTATTTCTCTTTTAAAGATAATGACACAGATGCTAAGAAAGTTCTAAAAACTTGTTTTAAGACATAGGATTGAAAATGAAGCACTAGGATTTTGCTTCACGTCTGCCTGGTTCTCAAAGTTGTGCACTTGCCCACACCACATTGTTCACACTGATTCCAGGCCACAATTTTAATTTTTTAAGAAAAAAATAATAAACACTCTTTTCCTGTCATAACTACTTACACCTCAGAAAATACAGTCATAACTGGAGTTTCTTTGCCTTTTTCCAGAATGGAGTCCTGTGGCCTTAATGGAAACTTGATGCAAGTCATATATTCCCATATAACAACCTTCTACCATGTGCTTGCAAGATGCCCCATGCTGTCCTAGAGACTTTTGCATGTCATTTAGTGGGAGACAATGCTGCGGACTTCATTCCAGAGAGAGCAAGACTGGACTCAGATGCAATTCTGTACCCGAAGGCAGATAGCTCTATAAACTCAGAAGATTGTCCCATAGGGTGCTTGGGCTTCTGCCTTTGACCTAGGACTCAAGAACCCCTGTTGAACTATGAGGTCAAGTCCTGCTGACCCACCCAGCCCTCACTGTGCCCAGCTTCCTCCTTCTCTGTCTGTGGTAGTCAGACCTCTATCTGGTGGTTATGGAAAAAGGCACGGTTCCTCTTATCTTTTCCCATCTTGCATCAGCCTGCACCATCCTGGGCTCATTTCAGCTGCCCTGAATTCCTATTTTAGTTTCATGGCTCATCACAGACTCGGGAATATGATGCATTAGCTTCATATTTAAAAAGAGAAAGTAGAAATGTGATTTACCTAAGACTATCCATGAGCTACTCATTCTCTTTCCAAAATATTCTTTCTTTACCCAAACAGATCATTCAAGAATCCCTTCTGGTGTTATTACATTCCTCTGGAAGCCTCCCCCAGCTCCCCACCAAATCCATCCATCCATCATCCACTTAGTCAACACACACTTACTGAGAACCCACAGTGAGTCAGGCACTTCTCCGGGTCAGTTCCTGGAGATTCACAGTGAACCAAACAGACAGAACTCCTTGCCCCAGTGGAGCTTATATTCTGTGGGGGAAAGATGGACCATAAACATAGAAACAAGCAAAATGTGTTATGTTAGATGGTCATATGTTCCATGAAGAAAAATAAAGCAGAGGTGGTTTAGAGAATGAGGGCCCTGTGGGAGGAATGGGGGGGCAGGGCTGCTATTTTAAGTTGGGTAGTCAGGGGAGGCCTCCTGAGAAGGTGAGGAAGAGGGCAGACCTGCAGGACGTGAGGACGAACCAGCTCACTGGCCGGGTGAGTTTCCGGCAGAGTCGGCAAGGGGAGTACAAAACCCAGGGGGGGCGTGCGCGGCCTGCTGAAGGCGCCGCCAGGAGGCCAGGGGCTGGAGCAGTGTGGACACGTGGTTGGTGGCAAGCGGCGAGGCCATGGGCATTCAGTGCCCTCCTGGTGCTCCTGAGGGAGAACCTTTGCTGTATTGTTATGGTCTTTTCATCTCTCTGTCCCCCCACTGGCCGGGGCACCCTGGGGGTAAGGCTAGGCTTCTCCTTTGTTTTTACATCCTTAACACCTAGTGCCAGACCTAGGGTGGAGGGAGAATATAGCATCTCTGCTCCTTGTTTTCTTCTTCTTTTTTTAAGGCCAGAAGTTCTAATTAAAGATTATTTTTGGTTCTAATGGGAATTTGGAAGGAATGCTGCTTCTAGACTCCAATTAGCCAGCTCCTTTTTAGACAGCCATCAAATGAATGGAATTGTTGGGTAAAGAGTAAGGTGCCAGGGAGACAAATACTGGAGTGAACCTTGTGGAGTGGGTAGTGTTAACCGGAGTCAGGAGGAAGAGGGTCTCACCAGAAATCCCCAGGGATTAGCAGGACTGCTGGTCCCTGCTGGGGACTGGTGTTTACAAAAAGTGACCGCAGGCTGGAACAGGGAGGTTCTCAAGAAACCCTCAAAGCGTGTCGGGAGACCAGCCAGGACTTTCCACTCACTACTTTCCTGACTCAGAGGAGAGCTGTGGGAGACCCGGGACCTGGGAGGCCTTGTCTCTGGAGACCTTTCTGGAAAGAAAAGAGCATATTCTCCCTGGCAGGGAGTTTCCCCTCCCAGAGCTAAACACTGGCCTTTGAGAGGCTCGGGCTGCTTCTGAGGCAGGGAAAGAGCATAGGAAATGCAGATGGGCTACAGCGGCAGAGCAGAAAGCACGTGGCCCCCAGTGGCATGCCAGGGTCCTGGGCCCCCATGGCTGTCAGCTCCCTCCTTCAGTGTTCACTCCCAATCTGAATGTGCATCCCCAGGATAAAAGGAGACATACAGTAACTTGTCTCAACTCACAGCAATTGGTACAAGTAGCTCGGTAGGCTAGACACATGGAGTGAGGTGAGTGGCAATTTCTGGAAATGGAAGCTTTAGGACATCCTAAAGTCTGTGAGAGACATTAGGGAATTTCAGCAAGGTAGTGATAAAATTGGATTTTCAACCAGAGGGATGTGTGTGTGTGTGTGTGTGTGTGTGTGCCAAAGTATGTATGACATAGTTATCAAATAGGAGTTTTCATGAATAAGAGTTGTGAAAAGAAGTAATTCCTTTTCAGCTCTTGTTCCAGGAGGCAGGTTTGTCTAAAAATAATAGAAAAGGAGAAATGAAAGATTTGCCTTGTAATTATTCAACAACCGTGTTTTGAGAATGGACTGTGTGCAGGCTCTGTGTTAGGTGCTTGTGTAGACGCAATAGATCAACATGGCGCACATAGAGCCTATAATCTATGGAGCCTTCTAGAAGGTCCTTGGGATGAAATCAGTCCAACTTCAAATACATGTTGCTAATGTTTCAAGGTGGGAAAATAAAAATGCACAGTGCCTGGTAAGAGAATGGAGAGTTACTTCTGTGCCTGCCAATTAACTGTTTAAAGCACGTCACAGCCTTTCAAACCTTCATCTCCTCACTCATTGGTGGAACTGACCTTCAGTCCTGCAGCCCACCCTCTGCCCCTCTGGGACATGATGAACAGAAAACAAGTTAGAAGCTCTGTACAGATTTCAGAGTGTTACTAACATGCCTATTACAGACCTCTGTCAGCCATGCAGTGCCTGGTGAGAGGTTTGGATGAAGTCGGACATTTGTTCACAATTCAATGGTCATATAAACTCTGCCTCTCTTGATATTTCTCTGACTTCCAGCCTTCAGCTTCAATTTTCCTGATATTACATTTCTGGTTTCTGCAATTCAATGCAATGCTTTCAAAATGTACACACATATGTTATCCAAATACTCTGGGGCCAGTTGTGTTTTGGGGGTTGGTTTAATGCTAATGGAAGAAAGTGGCCAGGATGGTTGTTCAGGATATGAAAAGCCTTGGGTACGGAATGAAAATAGCATCTGTGGGTAAACGGGGGAGGGAGGTGTCAAAAGTCAGCCTCGCTTGGGTCAGGCTAGGAAACCAACAGTGTGAATTGTCATGAAAAGTAACATGCAGGGTGCCAGCTCTCCCAGACCCCCAACAAGGAGTGGTTGAAAATTGAGCTTTCTGGTGAAAAGATCAGCTGCTGCAGAATGCTTTCCATAGATGTCAGCAAGCTGGGGCAGAGAGCATAGAGCCAGCCTGAAATGTGTCTAAATAAAAGATTAAAGTGACTCATTCCTGTTGAAAGGAGCTTTTTAAAAAGTGAAAGTAAGAGAGACAGAAGAGAAAAAAGAAAAGGCAAAGAACAATAGGGTTCAAATTTAAAACAACAGGAACAAGAAAATTGAATTAGTCACTCATGTCAGATCCTGTGTGCCTCTGTCCTGAATTACTACCTCCCTGACAAGGTTTTGAGGTCAGTGTCTCTCTATGTTTGCATTTCCTGGTGAAATAACACACTATCCCCGGTGTCGGTGTCAGTACCAGGCATTTGATGGGCATGCTGAGGGTGCTCGTCACATAGCTGCTGCAGAGGGCCTCTGTGCAGCTCAGGAAGCCTTCCTGTAGCGGGAGAACAGCAGCCACTGTCCCTGAACGAGTTCAGTATGACCATGACTGTCTGGAGCCACTCGGCCAGGGGCAGGAGAGCTGAGGCCGGCGGCCTGTTCAGTTCAGTAGAGATGGAGGCTCTGCCCTCTGGTTTGCATTTTTTTTACTAGATATTTCTTGTTTTGCTATAACATCCCTGATACCAGGAATCGGAGACTAACGAACCTTTATGATTTGCTAGTGTTTTAATCGATCTGCACTTTGCAGAGGAGATTTTTACACTGAAGGTAAATCAGTTTTGTGTTTATCCACGCTAGGCTGTGATAAAGTACAGTTTTGTTCCCATCACTTTCATCTCTTTGCTGTTTGATCCTGGACCACCACTTAGCCAATCGTGGGTCTTAGGGACCTCATCATAAAAGAGACATCACCCCCTCTTTGTTGACCACAATATAATACCTGTGAATATGAAACGATTTAATCTGGAAAACTGTGGTACAATAGTCAGTTTTGCTGCAGTAAGAAATAACCCCCAAATTTCAGCATTTGGTAGCAGCCAGCATCTCACCTATGTTACGTATGTCACCTGGCTACAGGCTGGCCTCTGTGGCATGGCTTTATATTTCTTCTTCTTCTGGGACCTGGGCTGAAGAGGCAGCTGCTTCTTGGAATGTGTCATGCTCATGGCAGAAGGAAGAAAGTGAGGAAGGAGACAGAAGCAGGAGCTGCTTCTTGAAGCTTCTGCTTTATTCTACTCACATCCCATTTGCTAAACAGGATAAGTTGCCACGTCCTCTATCAACTGGGTCCCCCTCCCATGGGGGGGCGAGTTGTTCCATGCAAGTCACTGACAACAAAAAAGTCTGTATCATTTTTTTATGTTTGAGAAAATAATACAGCTTGACCCATATGCAATAAACCTATTCAACAAGATGTGAGTGTTAATGTCCTAGTAAAATAATAACTGACAGTGTAGTAGGAATTGAGCTTACCTCTGGTGTTGATATTTCAGTCAAGAAGACGACACTGTATTAGCCAACATTCAATTACACTAGAATATAGCCACTGTGGGATGGAAGAAATTTTGTGTCATTTACACACATATGCTAGGGGTAAAACCTAGCATTGTGCCTGGAAATAGTAGGTATCTGGTACATACTAACTGTTTTCTGTAACTACACGGGGACACAGATACTCCAATACTCTAGGAACCCAAGATTTAACATAATTAAAGTTGCCACGGTCTATTTAAGATGAGAAAATCTGGCAAAGCCTATATTTTAACTGTGCACCAGATAAACAGGTTTATCGATTTATTTCTTAAATTTAAATGTAATCACATATCTGAAGTCTTTTTGTTTATTATGTAGAAAGTCTTATGTCATCACATCAAAGAACTCTCATATGACAAACTCCCCTCAAGGTCCCCACATTGTGGTAGTCCCTGACCTTGTCTGGAGCAGTTTAGCAATGCTTTTGACCACTGTTGTGTCTTTCTCTGGGGCTTTCCAAAACTTATTATTCTTCATATCTTTTGTTGGTTGTTCCTACCCTGTCTTGCTGGAAGCGTAGCCTCTTAAATTTAGAGAAAAGTGAACCAAGACTCCAAGATGTGGGGGCAGAGCCAAAGGCCTCGCAGAGGGTGACGCCACTCAACAGCTGTGTGACCCGGAGCTAGTTATTCAACCTTTCTGCATCTCATTGTTCACATCTGCAAAACATGGATGATAATAATAGTGTCTTCCTCTTAAGGGTGCTGCGAGGATTTAATGGGGTGATACATGTGAAGGATTTGGAGTCACACAGGCACATGGTGGGTGCATCTGTGATCCATTCTGGCTATTAGCTCTGAGCAGCCTGGGCACAGAAAGGAGAGGAACAGTGCAGATGTCTGCTCCTCAGGAGCTGTCCTCCAGGCTATGGCCTTTTGAGAAGGCAGAGCCACAGTAGGAATGAGGTCTTGGACTGAGGCTGGGATGTGGGCCTCCGTGGATGGAGGGGCCAGATGGACAGAGAGGAAGGTGGGCCCTCAGCAGCAGATGAGGCCATGCTCACATCTTGAACAATCTCATGATGTGGTGCAGAGATTGGACCACTTGTCAGGGTCCTCATCACTGCTGTACCTGAGCCTGGGTGGTCAGGGGGACCCGCTGAGCTTCCTGGGTGGGCAGGACTTGCAGTCTGTTCTGGCCGTGAGTCTCAATCTGCTGTGGTGGTGACTTCCCAAAGCAATGCTCATTTGAGGCAAAGGAACATTTACAGGGATGTCTGTCTTTGTCCCGGGACTCTGATTGTATCTCCCAGGATAGCTGGAATCAGGCAGGGCTGGGCCAGTCTGCCCAGGGTTTGGGGTCTCTAAGTGTGAAATGCAGCTCAAGAAACATGCTCAGATTAAGTCTCACGCCAGAGGGCTCCTGGCCCAGGAATCCGATCTCCGTCCTCCCCAATGTCCCACAGGGTGGGAGGAAACTTCCAAGCATGTCATACCCTCTGGGGGTCCTTGCAAACCATTATCTTCTATTTCCTTCTAAGACTTTGGGTAGTCGATGTTCTGAGGGGCCAGTGTGAACTACATTAGGAACTTGAAAAAAATAAAGCATTGTTTTGCTTTTTATTCTGTAATTGAGACTTACCTTTTCTTTAACATATTTAAGTAATTTCATCTTGAGCATATCCAGAAATTTCAAAGTCCCCTTCAACATCTGGCCCTTTTGTCACCAGGATTAGCAGGTTTAGCAAGACAAAACAGCTCGCTTTAGAATGGCTTGTTTAGTAACAACAGGAAAAATGTAGGCCTTACTCACATTTTAATCATTTTTCCCTTCCACTAGCATTATGTGGTAAGATGGTCTGTGCACAGCTCTGATGATATGTGTTGTTCAAGGACACGAGGACACTGATTTTCAGGTGAGTTTTCACCTACATTGCCTCCCTTACTCTTTATAACAATCCTAGAAATTATATCTTACTATTTATGCCCATCTATAGAAGAGGGAACTAAGGTCCAGGGGCTCCTATGAGCTCCTGGCCCAGGTTATAATGGCTGGGAGCTGGAGGGGCGAGAACTTGAGCCCAGAAGTGTGTCCAAACCCACAGTGTGTGTTCTCGGCTCTGCATAGGATAGTGGTCAATGTCCTGATGATCAGACCAAACTTTCAGAGGGCACTTTTCTCCTTAACTGCTTGGGCTTAAGTGGATGAACATCTATATTTATAAAAACTTTGTAATGTGGCTCCAAGTGTTTATGTGAGGGTGGTCCTAGTGGTCAGAGATGTGGTCCCTGTATAACGGGCCCTCACACCCACCATGCGGAGGTGCGGTGAGCAAGAGGAATACAGGATGAACCCCACCCAGGCTGCCCTGTGGGTGAGTTCTTCCCAGCCACACCATCACCAGCTTCTACGCATGACTGTCCTGCACATGTGCAATGGTGACGGGGCTGGATGGAGTCTGGCTCATTCATTCCCTCATTCCATCCATGGAAATTTACTGAGTACCTACCATATTCCTGGCACTAAACAGAACAATGCCCCAGATTTTATCGTGTGTTTGTGTGTGTGTGTGTGTGTGTGTGTGTGTGTGAGTGACACGCACACAATGTTAGGCCATGGCAAGTGTTATGAGAGGAAATGAAGCTGGGTAAGGGGGTAGAGAGTGAAGGAGGTTCATTTTATAGGGGGAGTTCAGAGAAGGCAGTCTGATGAGCAGACACCTGAGAGAAGTGGCAATGAGCCACGTCAGGATCTGCAGGAAGAACATGGATTGTATGAGGCAGAAGGAAAAGAAAGTGGGAACAGGCTGAGTGTGCTTTACTGATTCAGAGACAGAAGAGGCTGGCGGTATGTCTAAGGGGAGTGAATGAAGCCAGGCGTGGTAAGGGGAGAGGCGGAGGGCAGACAGAACCTGAGGGCTTCGTGGAATAGGTTTTAACAGGGAGAAAAAAGGAAACTAACATTTGCTGAGCACCCACTGTGCATTTACCTCTGAGCCGGGTCTAATCTTTTCAGTAGCTGCAAGACTAGCTAGTACACGTTCAGAGAAAGCTGCGGTGCTTGTTTGGCAGCTCATAAATAATAAAACCAGCATTTAGACAAGGTCTTTCTATTTCAGTGCATGATTACAGACCTGCTTCACGTGTGCACATTTTTTTATTATTTAATATTTAAATATACTTTTCATTTATCTGCTTCACATCTCTTGTGGGGATACAGGAAAGATCAATTTCTACTCACAAATTTGCATTAACACAGTTAGTGGCTACAAAACATCTTTTCGGAAGGGAGATTGTATCAGATGAGTGGTTTCATTGCTTGAGCAAATTAATACATCTCCTGTGACTGGTATGTATTTGCATAGGTTCTCCAGAGAAACAAAACCAATAAGAGATAGACACATATATCCAAGAAGTTCACGATCACCAGTCTGCAAGCTGGAGACCCAGCAGAGCCAATGGTGTAGTTCTAGTCCAAGTCCAAAAGCCTGAGACCAGGAGAGCTGATGGTTTGAGTCAGAAGGCAGGAGAAGATTGATGTGCCAGCTCAAAGACAGTCGAGAGGAGAGAGGGATTTCTTCCATAGTCTGCCTTTTGTTACTGATTTACCTGTTAGTCTCATCTAGAGACATCCTCAAAGACACACCAAGAATAATGTTTAACTACATTCTGAGGCATCTAATGGCCCAGCAAGTTGACACACAATACTAACCACCACAGAGGTGGTAAAATTATAAATACATTTAAGGAAAACAGCAAGTTACAATGAAGAGGCTTCAACACTAGGCATGCCTTCTTTGGTCTTGCAGGGAGGGCCAAGCTCACTTGCCAGACAGGGCATAGAGCCCTCTCCCCAGTTGCATGAGTCAGCTTTTCTAGGTTCCTAAGACTCTGCTTTTAGCCAGTTTAAACTCTCCCCCTTTTCAGGGCAACAGTCAAGCTCCACTTGTTAGGTTCACCAAATAGGCAGGATTCTTTGAGATCATCTGGACTAAGGATTTTCAAAATGTCCTCTGTCATGGCCACATGGAAAATGGTATTTGTACAGTACGGAGAGGAAATGGATGAAGCTGCTTGTGGCCACAGGGGAGTGGCCTGGGGAGCTCTGGCCACCCTGACCCTACCAACAGTCCCCCTAGATGAAAGGCATAAGTCAACATATCTTTGCCACATGGCTGGAGAAATCTGATTTAGACCAAGCCATGTCCTCTACAGATGGGAATACTGACATCCAGAGAGGGGAAGTCAAGAGCTACCTGCTTTCTGCTTGCGACCCTCCTGCATTCTTCTAGTTGTACTGCATGGTTTGTCTTCTGCATTTTAGTCACTCCAGACTTCTGAATTATTCATCGATCATTTGTCACAGATTGTTAGAGACAGCTGGCTTGATATGTGCCTGTGCATGGGTATACACACAGGGCCTCTCCCCAACCAGGTGACAGGTCCTCTAGGGACAAGGGCTTGGTCATGTTCTCTTTCTTTTCTTAGACCCTCCAGATTACAAAGCATAGTGGCTTGGACTTTTCTATGTATTAAAGTATAAATGAATAATCATCCATTCTCATCCTTTAAAATAAACTGTTTCATCCTCCTATGTCAAGCATCCCTTTCCTCCAGAACGTGTTCCCTGGATGTGCCTGGCTGTAAATAATGTCTGCTTTGTTTGACCCTCCGGAGCATTCTCTTTGTGACATCTTAGAGCTTCTCCTACTTTCTACCTTACATTAGAGCTATAGTAGAATGTATCCCATCTCTCATTTCAATCATACAGTCACTATGAAAGCAGAACTATGTGTGGTTCACATAACAGAGTGGCATTTACTTCACAGGCATTAAGTTCAGATTCAGTGTCCTTGGGGGGCCTCTACACCTAGGATCTGTTGTTACAGCTCTACACTAGGTCTGTTGTTACAGCTCATTTCAGCAGGCATGTCAGGCAGGCGTGGCACAGTAACTCCATTTTATATGAGGACCTGAGGCCCCAAAGAGGAGAGGTACTATTCAGATTGTTTTAGTGGAAGCCAAGATCTCTGGCTCCAAATCTCACACCTTTTGCATCAGCCCAGAATACACTCTTGCTTACCTTAACAAATGGTTGTTAAAGAAATACACTAGCCAAGAAGAGATAAGTTATTTAAATTTACAGGCTAATAAATGCTGGACACAAGTCATGTGTGATTTTTGTTAGTGATCATAAAGGTCCCTTCGTATTAGAAAAATGAAAAGAATATTGGTTCTCGTGGATGTGTCTGCTCCCTGCCAGTTGCCCCCAGAATGCCTGCAGGGTCCACTGAAACATGACTTAGATGAAAGAATGTGGTAACTGTCCCAAGTCTTTTTCCTGTGGTTTCTACCACAATGGAAATGGTATTTTTTATGTTAATCAGTTCCTTAAGTCTTGTGTTTAGGAGGTCAATTCAATCAGCTGCTAACCTCCAGGAGGCTGAGTTGGTTGTGCTGTGTGTGTATGTGTGTGTACAGGTGGCAGGGCCATGAGCATCCTGCTTTATTTTTCTGCTCTACTTTCTTCTTATTTCCCATAGCAATAATTGACCCCCTTCCATATTAAAGACCCCCCAAAGATAGAAGCAGGCATGCACAGCGATGCTGGATTCATCTTCCATGTGATTATCGAACTGTGACCTCCCAGGAAGTCATTTCTCCAACCCAGTTAATTCCCAACTGTAATCAGAGCCCAAAAGCCCCTAATCGTGCATCTGAGTTTGGTAATGGCAAGTCTGTCACAAACATCTGCAAAGAGAACATGCTTATAGGAAGCTTTTGATAGACAACAGTAGTTAAGCTACAACACCCGTTTGACAGATGCATCTTGAATAGCCGGATAAGCTCCAGCTGCCTGGGGATGTGGCCCGGAGTGCTCGTAGAAAAGAATGATCGTCTGAGGCTAGAACTGAATGTCTGTCTTCAAAAGGTCTTCCATCCTGGCCCATCCACCGCAGGGACTGATCTTAGAGCAAAGCCATTTTGATTCCAGCTGTAACCTCCCTCTGCGGCAGGGTGGACACTGCAACTGAGTCGAGGGGTTCCAATTTGCCCTACACCAGCTCTCTGTCCTGGATCAAATCACGGCAACAGAGTAGAGAATGCTGAGCACAGGGAGTCAAGAAGAGGGATGTACTTTATTCAGTGCCTTTCACCACTTTCACGCCAGCAGGTAGATGAATTTGACTTTTAGCCATCAAATCCTTATCAGATGTCCACTGGAAACCAGGCACTGTGCTAGGCTCTGGGGGGTGGGGGTAGTGGGGGATGCACTTTCTGCCTCAAGGACAAGTGAAGTTGTTTCTCAAAATATATTCTTACATCATGGAACTGGTTCTGCAGTAGACATTCAGAGGCATTCATTCATTGAACAGGTTATTTTAGAACACTTGCTATGTCTAAGGCTACTGCAGGGAGCAAGACTGATATGGGGCTGGCCCTGAAAACACTCTGATGGGATGTTGAATGGTGGATGAGTATGGATGGAAGTAGGGGTTTTGCCTTTGTTATATTTTAGGGAAAAAGAAAAAGAAAAACCAGAAAGACATATAGAAAAAATATGTAATGAAAATAAAATTGTAGAGGGAATGTTTATATACAGTTATTTACCAATTTTAGTGTGTGTCATTTCCATTTGGTTGTATGTCTTTTATACAAAAAAGCACAACTCTTCTTTGAAGCCCCTTGATATTTTTCCTGGCTGGTCTAGACAACTTGGAAACTGCTCAACTGATTTTTTTTCAGTGGTTTTATGTAATTCAGGCATGTTTGGGGGACACTGCTGCATCTTAAGATGCTGGAGAAGGATATAGTGTCAGGCCCTTGCTTCTTGCATTCCCTGCCTATCAATGCCTTTTAGCTGTCTTTCTCTGTGGCAAAATGCTGTTTATTTGTTAAGCCAGTTCAGAGATCC